GTCAGCCCAGGCAGATCTGCTTTTCCTCGGCTGCCATTTGAGGCATCTTCTGTAGGAGACTGAACTCTGTCCCTGAGTCTGTCCTCTCTATACAGACACTGTCCATACCTCAAAGGCTACCTATCCTTTCCTTGGCGATTATTTTTAAAAATAATCCTAATGAAAGAGTTGAAATCTCAGGCCTATTACTAAACCAACTTTTCTGAAATTTGTTGTCAAATTCAATTTATTTTTAAAAGCTGCATGTGGTTTGCTCATTAAAATAACTTTGTAATTAACCTTCCTGCCAGTGGCATTACAGAACACAGAAAGCCTTTAAATGAATTAAACTCTTCATTTACAGGTTCCACTTCCATCTTGAACACTGTTAGGTATTGATTACCTCAGTTATTTTGTTGATACCGTGTGCATAATTGCACTAGGACTTCCATTATAAAAGATTTTAGAAATACTGCATGGGAAAGTCATGCAACTGGCCCAAAATCATATTCAGAATCCCAGACTCTAAGAGGAAGTAACGAATTATTTGATCAAAATACACACAAAGAAACTGAGAGAACAGATTATCAGATGAAATTACCTGATGGCTTGGACAAAAACCTAACCAAGTCAAAATCTGAATGGCTACTGGTTAAAAAGGTAGTTATGTCAGACTTCATATTCGCAAAATTTGTGTTCACAAAACTTTTGAGGCCTCTGAGATTTTAGAGATGTAACCATCATTCAGGGAAGTTTAATAGGGCATGAAATCTGCAGAAAAGCAATCTCTTTTTTGAACACCACATTACCTTTTTTATGACCCAAAAAGTGCACTAATGGACAGAAAGAAAAAAAAAAGTTTTTCAAAATGTCCTCAGAAAACAGCCACTATGTTACCATCTGAATAAGAGCAACTCCACAACTGTAGGGCTTTTCATTGCATTCATTACAAGATAAATAAAAATTAGGAGAGAGAATTTCAGTGCCATACGCAATTGCTGCAGACCTGCCCTGTTTGTATGTAAAACAGTACATAATTCGGCCACACTTGATCAGAGTAGCAGCCTAACAAGGCTAATGCCCTGTCTTTAGAAATTGCCTATGCCTTACGCTTTAAAAATGGTGAAGGAAAAAACTAATTTGCCTGGACAATTTGGCAGCATGGAGCAAAGAAAAAGAATAGGGACAATGCCTTCCATACCTTACAGCCATCAGCTTGCAAGTTTCAGCATTAAATCTCTCTATTACTATTTAGCACGTCAGGTTGGAAACATAAACATTAGTTATAAAACCATTTAGCTCACAGTAGCTACATTCCTTTATTTTTCATAAAGTTTTGGGTGCATTAAGTCAGAGCACTCTGGACATCAATTTAAGCTTGCACCAACAAGGAAAAAGTTTTGCTTGTGTGTGTGTTTTGTTTTTTTGGTTGGTTTTTTTTTTTTTTTTTTCCAAATATATGTTACAATTGTAAGCTTTTCAGGACAGTTATCACCTCTTGTATACAGCTTTTAACCCTACAACTCCGAGGGCTTTTTTCTTTTCTTTCTTTTTTTTTTTAAGGTTACAAAGACTTGTGGTTGCAATATAATAAGGTGCTCAAATTTCAAGTAAGTTTCTCGTTTTATCCAGCAAAATGCTGTGGACATGATGCAGTCCTCAAAAGGAAAAAGCATCATAAGTGGCAATGAGCCTGTTATCTTCACAGTATAAAAATCTCTGTCTTCGAAAACAGCTTAAAGGTCTCTCTTAGTTTATTAAACATAAAATCACACCTCTTATTCATCACATAAGAATACGTTTTCAAGTTCAGGACGCTACTTCAGTAGATTCTCCTGGTGTTATGTCTTTGGCATGGTCTAACAAAATCTCAGTGTTTCAGTTATTATGATTTTGGAAGGATTTCAAGACATAAAAAGCAACAGAAGAGCCATACTGACTTTCCTAACTGAGTCTTTTATAGTTAAAGTCTAATTTAAACCAGCTCTAACAACCTTCATATAAATTACTATTTAATGTAAAACACGCGTACTCAAATAAAGATCCAAGCTATATGGCCTTTGAAAATATCAAGACAAAAATAAGAAGGGAACAAAAAAAAAAGTGAATATTTATCTGTATCAAGATTAAAAGGAGCTTGAGGATGTCCCAAGTACAGAGCAGTGACTGCAAATGCCAGGGCGCCATGTGTGGGTCCTATGCTTTTGGGTATTTTTGTGAAAACCCCTGGGGCTGTGTTCAAGGGCAAAGGCAGGAAAATTCTAGCAGTGCTGGTATTCCACAAAACAAAGGTTGCACGTGCACTACACGTCCAAGTAGTTCCTTTCTGCAAAAGAAAACAGGCTACAAAAAACTTTTTTTTTTTTTGTTGTTGCAATACAGCTTTCCTTATCATTCTTTCATCAGTATCTCAGAGCTTATTTCCTCTTTTGGTTTAGGCACTGAAGGAGGTAGCACAAACCCTGCACTCCCACAGCGAGGCAAGTGGGCTCCACCACCCTGCCAAAGGCACTAGGTGCTCTGCGCAGCTCTTACTGCAGGTTTCAGCTTTGTGGGTACGTTTCCTGTTTTCACTTCTCATCCAATGATCTTCTGATTTGTTTTATTGCCCCTTTTCTGTTTTGCAGCACCCCTGCTCTCTGGTAGGTTAATGTTATACAAAATAAAAAGTTCAAACTCATAAAAGAGGAAATTTATTTATAGGAGTTCCTTTTAGAAAATGTCTCTTAGGGGGTTCATAAATCATCAGACAGTTTACAAGGCATTTAAAAATGCAGAACAGATAAATGCACATGTAGTATAATGAAGTTTTCCCTTAAGACTAAGCTAGGTAAATAGCAGGTAAATGTGCACACACCATTTTAAATGGCAGCAGAACCAACTGTACATTTGCTTCAAACTAGTACTGAAGTTAGTAGCTGTAACAAACTTATACTTCGGCCTTACTCTGCCAAATGGGCTGATCTGATAATCAGATTAAGCAGCTTTCTGTTTTATTTTCAAGTTACTTTATTTATTTGTAGGGAATATTAATTATTAACTCAGACACATTTAAATTTAAGAGGAGCTTTGGCTTGCCAATTTCTCGTACTCCCCTAGCATTCCATTTGAAATATAAACCA